AGATAGATAGATAGATAGATAGATAGATAGATAGATAGATAGATAGATAGATAGATAGATAGATAGATAGATAGATAGATAGATAGATAGATAGATAGTGCTATCCACTGTTTATGTTTATGCAACATATCCCAGAAAAACCATTAAAAATATATATAAATAAATAAGTATGGAGGCAGACTGTACTTGTTTTCTTTTTTTTATGTAGCTATTTAACTCCAACTCAGGAACTTAATGGATTCGCAGCTATTTTGCGTGCTGACCTTTCTGCTCGATGTGTTCCTTATTGAGTTTATGTTGCAGTATAATGAGTAAGAATCCAAACCATACACTCACCCCTTTCAGCTGCTGAGCTCCAGTGATGTGCTGAAAGACTCTGTCAATCTCCTGCTCGATCCGCCGGGCCCAGTGCATTATCCTGCAGATAAACATCACAGGCTGAATGTCACACAACACAAAACACATAAATAAGATAAGGGTGTGTGTGTATGTGTTTCACAGGAATGAAACGGAATGTATCAGAAAAGACAGTTACTTGTCCATGAACTGAAACCTCCTATTTTAGACAAAGTGGCTCATTTATCACAAGCTAACACATGAAACACATTCAAAAAGGTACAAACTGGAAAAATGGTCCCCCTTTTTTTCATTTCTAGGTTTTTTATGTATCAGGACAGAATAAAAACTAGAGAAACTCAATGTATTTCTATGAATAAATCAAAATAAAGTTAGATTTGTTAAAACATAAACGTAAAAAAATATATAAATATATAATAATATATAAATAATATAATATATAATAATATAAATAAATTGTAGCACCCATCTCTTGGAGCTGAACGTTCTGATGTGTGAATGACTAAAAAAGTACAACTATGCAGAAGTCCGTAGATTGCTAATGAAGTGTGGAATAAAGAATCACCATTCACTCAATAATCTGTAATTTACCAAGTTCTACGTGTATTTAAATCTAACTTTGTGTATAAAACACAACAGATTCCATCATTATTACTTATTAAACAAACCCAAATGGAAAACATGGGTGATGAATTAATTTCATCACATGATTCATTAACTTGTAGAATCCCATTTAAGTTGAAGTAGTGGTTTTCTGTGGGACCTAATAGAGTCCTCACACGGTTGTAGAATAACTTGTTACACGTGCCCCACCTCCAGGCCTGGCTCCAGAGTGGGGCCCCGGTGACCCACGTCCGGGCAAGGGAACACTAGGTCCATTTGTGTTTTTCATCATAGGGGTGTGTTTGGGCTGCACTTTGTCTGGTCCCTCACCTAATTTTAAACATGTTTTTTTTTTAAGTTACACTTACTGATTGTCATCAACATACTTAAGCACTGCAGCCAACAATAAGTGAGTCACTAATGATATAATGGGTAATGAACTGTGCTCATATAGGGTCTTAGCCAACCAGGATACTCAAAGTGTTTTACAACATTAGCCACAATCTGTGCTCTCATTTACCCATCCACACACATTCAAGCAGCATTACAGTATCTCTACAAAGCTAATCCAAAATATTAATTCCATAGAGTCTAACCAGTGCTTTAGACTGCATTCATACATCAATGGGACATATCAGAGGCAATGAGGGGTTCAGTGTCTTTCTCAGGGACGCGTCAACATGTGACTGCATATTGGTGGAATCTAACCTTCGGCTCTCTGTTGGAGATCAGCTCTAACCGCTAATCCACAGCTCCCCATATCACTGTATAAGACCAAGAAAAAATGTCATCATGTACATCAATAACAGAAAAGGAAGCTTGAACAAGCTTTCATTCAGCATAAGTCTGTTCATAAGGCTTTGATGCCACATTAACACAACTAAAGTGGTGTCTAAAAGGCAAATACAACACGCAGCTCCCAAAACGTAAGCATTAAATAGTTCCTAAAAACTGTTGTTGCAGCCTAACATGCCTTGGTAGTTAGGAATTTTCTCTAAATGCTAATAAATACTGAAAGAAACAAAGGTACCACTTTACCATACGGCTCCACTTATAGATGGCTAATAAATAGTTTATAGATATGTTATTAATTCATCTATAAACACTTTACAAATCATTAATAATTGTTTATTATGTATTAATTAAGAGTGACAGAGAGACCAAACTGACCAGTTTCTTGCCAAATATTGAGCCAAATCTGCCAACTATATATTTAATCTAGATTTGTTATATTAAATATTTCAGACTAAGTTGCTACCTTGTAAACACAATAAGCATTTGTAAACCTATTTCTGTAGCAAATAATTTTGTACTTTATAAAATATATAATATAATACTTTATACTTATAATGCAGTGATAAAGTACAATATTATATGCTAAAAAAAATAAGTTTACAAATGCTTATTGTGTTTACAAGGTAGCAACTTAGTCTGAAATGTTCAATATAACAACTCTAGATGAAAATATAGGTGAACAGATTTGTCTCACTATTTGGCAAGAAACTGGTCAGTTTTGTCTCTCTGTTAATCCATAATAAACAATTATTAACGATTTATAAAGTGTTTATAGAAGAATTAATAATATCAATAAACTATTTATTAGGCATCTATAAGGGGAGCCTTATTGTAAAGAGGTACCGAAACAAATAAGTCAGGATGGACAAAACATCTGAATTTTAGAGGAAATGTAAACGTGACTAAGGAGTTTAAGATGTTGAAGTCTTAAAACACGGAAAAAGTTTTAAAGTGCACAATATTATAGTAAGAAATAAATATGGAATCAGGTTTTTTTAGGAATCTAAAATGGATGAAACTACCGACAAGCAACTACTGGTACGAAAACTGAATAACTAAGGGCAACAGGCCTTAATGTCAAAGAATAATAACGCAATGAATAAATGAATAAATCAAATGAATAAAATCCTTAGTAGAGATGGAAGAACATCCCAAAAGAACAACTGTCAGGGCGGCACTCACTCTGTAAAAATTCAAGAAAGAAATTTCTCATTAAAAGGTGCTTGACAGCTCAGGGGTCTGAAATCCCTCCATTGACACCATACATGAAATCAGCCAGCCTGTTACAAGAAAAGTGCAACTGTGACTCAGCGAGGGTTATGTGACATCCATATCTGGACTTTATTACCAACACTGCAGTGTGCATAATGTTATTTTGGTGACCTACAGTCATGGAAATGTGTTTTTATTTCTCAGGGACAAAGTCAAGAAAGTCAACAGCCAAGATGGAGGTTTGTCACTCCATAACTAACTGCTGCTTGAAAGGAAATATACAGTTTGTGACAGATTAAAAAAGGGACACGACTTTTTGCAAGAACTCTTTGGGGCTAAATTGTCTGCTGCACAATACTGACATTTCATCCCCCACATTTGATTTCTGAGTGCTGAATGACTCAGCTGAAGTTTGTTGAAAGAAGCTGAAATTGAATTGCTAAAATTAAAAAACCAGAACAGATACTAAAATGAGCAAAACTGAAATAAAAGCTAAAAGTTGCTAAGATGTAGCTAAATGCTAAAATGAGCAAAACCATAGCTAAAAGCTAAAACTACCAGAACCATATGGTATAAGCTAAAATTAGGTAAATCTTAGCTAAAAGTTAAAAGTAGCTTAACAAGTCTAACAAAAGTGTACTGGTAAGTATGAGGATACAGATTTCAACCAAACCAATGTTTTTGAATGTTGACAGCGTTCACAAAATTGGAACCAAAGACATGTCAGGTTCAGGTAACTTTCAGCCTTTTAACATGTTTTTTTATGAGACTAAAACAAGTGAGAATCCTCCACTCCACCCTCAACCTTCAACTCATTCTGACCACCTTTTTTGAGCCCCCCCTGGGAATATCCTGACAAGCTGCATCACAGCTTGGTAACACAGCTGCAGCGTAACTGACCAGAAGACTCTGCAGCATGTGGTGAGAATGGCTGAGAGATTCATGAGTCTCACTCTCCTCCTCGGAGACGGTTTTCAAGAAGAGATGCAGACGGGAAAAAAGCCCTCAGTTTTTGTGAGATCTCTCTCATCCTTTCCACGAGCTGTCTGATCTCCTGCTGTCTGAAAGAAGAGATCACTCCATGAAGAACGACCAGAACGTGCAACAGCTTCATTCCTCAGGCTGCTGCAGTATATTCACAATAATGATCTGAATGAGAGAAACATTGTTCCTTTTTTGGTTTCTCAATATTCAGGCCAGGAAATAGAACTACTTTATAAACCTTTGAAAACTGAAAATAATCATGCGTGTGCCCGTCTCATTGTGTGTGTGTTTAGTTGTCCATCTGTGAATCACTGGGTGGATTTGATTGAAAATTTGACTTCCACAACTGATTCACGTTTGTAATCAGATCAGTTCAAGATGGCCGTCACAGTCAACTGACCTTAAAAAACAAAACTGGCTATACTGTGATTCATTCATTTTTGTAGATGTTGAGTTAAACTGTGATGTGGTAGTAGCTGAACATTGTCCCCAACACGTCATTTAAGTCATAGTGCTAGATGTTTGCTGAAAATGTTTCCAATAACATTTAGAGTCAACATCTGGCTTTGTTAGCAAAATATCTTATAAACTAGAGAGTGACCTTGACTTGAGCATGAACTTTGGTGTTTTGAACCACTGTGGCATGACTGCCTCAGAGGAGTTGACGGGGGAGAGGGCGGGCCCCGGAGGCCATCTTAGCACCAGCAAACTGTTTTTTTTTTTTCCCACTATGGAGTACGCTGTTTGTGGGAAATCACTTTGTTTGGTGGCTCCTCAGACTGAAGAAGTCCTTAGGATGAAGGACGAAATGTCTCAACAAAAAAAGAAACCGGCCAGATGACCTGACTGAACATTGTTGGATCTTATAAACTACTGGAAAGATTTTAGTGAGACTCTTGAAAAAGTAATAATTGGCTGTGGTCAAGTCAACTTAAGATGGCCGCCAAAGTTTATCCACCTTAGCCTAAACAAAAATGGCTATTCCTCAGTGGATTTCATACATATTAAGTTGAACTGCTGTGTGGTAGTAGCTGACAGTTATTCACTATACATACTCCAAGCACTAAGAGATGATCAGTTAAAATATCACAATATAGCAAGAGATGGAGTAACGTTGTTTTTAAGGTTTGATTAATACTTTAATCTTTGTCGTTTCTCAACATAAGATGGGTTTATAACTCTAAAGTGACATTTGGAATAACAAGCAATATACACTCTTTCACTACGAGAAGCTAGGCTTTTATTCAAATATGAAACAAGAGTCTAAAATTAGATCTTCAATATTAATTTTTTTTTCATGATTTTTACTAATTCTGTTTTCCACCTTCAGATTTTTTAATAAAAAAGGGCACACCATTCCTTAACTGAATCGCAATCAAATGTGCAGCATCTCACTTTATTTGTTCAACCTATAGCGTGTTTGTTTTCTTAATAACTTTCTAAAGACACGGCAGCATATTTTTGCTT